GACCCAGTGATGAGCCATAAGAGGGCAGAACACTATAGTTGGATGGGTTGTCCAGATCTTGAGTGTACACATTGTAGAAAATGGACGGACGCAACAGCTCTATACCCGTCACCGATGTTAGCAAACTTTGCGGTGAACTCCTAGTGCTCTGCAATCATATTATAATAATAATAATCAGTTCATTGCATTTAACCGTAGCAACTATTTCTAGCGCATCATAGCATTACCCCCAGACTCGGGATGTGAACCGATCATGTATTGGGGGTCAGTTCACCAAAAGTTTATCTTAACTATATTTAACTATTTGATGGTTTGTAACTATTTTAACTATTTCGTAAAATTGAGTGAATTTTAATCTAATAACTGAAATATTTGAGATAGAATTAAAACAAAAGAAAGTTTTAATAATAAAAATAAATATACCGTAAAATGCAAAGCAAGAGAAATATCACGAGTTTTGGTTTTATAATCAAAACATTGAAATTACCAAAAGTGTCGTAATTGTAATGTTTATTTGAGGAAATATCGCATAGTACAATTTAAATTATTTAAATTTAAGTAAATTTACTAAAAATGTAATGTTAATGTATTAAACATTAAAACAAATGAATTTAAACATTTAAAAATAATTTTTTGCTAATTTCATCATAACTATTAAAGTAATACGGGTAACTATTTTTGGGTGTTTTCATAACTATTTGGGTCTTATATTTAACTTTAATGTAATTCTCTGACAATGTATTTAATGCCTGAACTCATGTCCGAAACCTTTAATTTAAAACTTCTTTTTTGACATTTGTGTTAAACAATTAATACAAACACTATTCTTATGGTTTACAACTCAAGGAAGTCGTTGTCCAACACCTCTCAGATGATTGCAAAAACACTTTTAAGGCTCGCATTTATTATTAAAGTTTTGAATTGATTAGTGAAAGCCATGAGAGAAAAAGGTTCACCAGAGTTGATGTCTAAATGTCATCAAAGCTTTCAATGCTTTTTATTTGATATATAATATCCGTTAGCATTAAGAAGAGTAGAGAGAATCGCCACAAATGTATTGTCAGTCCATGGGATTCAAGAGTCTATAGGAATCTTAATTATGGGAACACTTATAGCACTACAAAAACAAGACTTTCTCACAGAATCACAACTGAGATGAACAACAAATGGATTGTAAAATGCAAGAGACATGGCTTTCCAATACACAAACACTACAAACTCAACCCTATTGTCAATTTAGACTTATTTGCAAACAAATCAATCATTCATTCAATTTATTCATTAAACTCTTCGACAATTCAAATGTTTGCAAACAAATCCATTTGAAAGCCATTAATGATAACAATCTGAATGCAAATGCGAGACATGAATGATAGAGCGCTTACCGCTGCGGATATTGAACCCAACTTTCGGGGATGAGTGAAGACAAACCGGTGAACCGACGACACGGTGGCCACCAATACGTACACCTTATCGATCGTCTCGTGAACGCTCACCCCTTCCAACACCGGATTCTTCTGGAAGTGTAACTTCAGCTGATTTCCGGTCAGATTCGTGTCCATCGACAGCTCCGTGAGCTCCAGGATATCATTATTGGTTTTCCTATGGGGGCGGCAATCAATGGTGTCAATGCCATTGTCATTGTGTGCACAATGGGATGCGCTTATGGGGTGATAGCATACCAGTAGATGAATCTGTTGGCAGTGTTTGTGGTGAAGGCATGCGAGTCGTGGTAAGTGAAGGCACCGGCGCTTTCCGATGACGTGAAGTCTTGGAGAGTACTGTTGGCCGCACCTAAAGGGACACAAACAGAGCCATTAGTCAATACATCAATCAATACACAGCACAACACATCCGCAGCCAAACCACACACTCATTGTGTGCGACAGACTTCATGTGTGTTTACATTCATTCAAATTAAACAATTATTTAGGCTTTAATTCAGTTATATTTACATTTAATTTGAATGTAATTTGCAGTCATTTTTAGCGCACATGTGATGACCAATTGGTGTTCATAAATAACGTCCGTTTTGTTCCGTATTTGAGTTTATAGTGTGTTAACTGTACTAATGTTTTAACAGTCAGTTATCGCGTTATTTGACTCAAACATCAATACATTTTGTATGCGGTTTACAATTGGAGCCAAAACTGGATTTAATGTTAAATTGAATTAAATTTAATCATATATTTATAATGTATTGATTTTNGTTTGATTGTGTTTTCAATTACATTGAGATCTTAAACGTTATCGACAGAGAAATTAGTTTCACATCTTTCCCACCGAACGGTTGGAACGGCTCTTATTTTATACATTTATTTCTTATTTCACTTGATTTATGTCTAAATATCATTCAATCCATCAAAACATATATGCAATCAATTGAGAGAATTGTCGCAATAATTGAGATTATATTTTAATTAATGAATGCAATTCATACATTTAATTTAAGTATACATTATATACTGCATACAAGTATATTATGAGAAATTACTAAATTAATTATTTAGGGGCCATAAAAATTTAGACAGATTATTTTGTATATAGGCACCTTCACACGAACCGTGCATAACATATGAGGGTTATTTCAAATGGTGGCCCCACTCTCAACACATATTAATACAATTGTCTCAATTATAGTGCCGTAATAACCATGTATAATGTTCAAGAGTGGGGCCCCTCTATATAACACCATATAATTAGTGCCTAACATAGTATTATATTAATGACAGCATTTTATTTACATTGTATGAAAAATATAACATGGTAATTGATATTTTTATGATATTATTGTGTGAATTGCTTTGTATTTCAACTATGTCAAAACAGATATTAACTATTAAGGCAATTCTATTATGCAATTAACCATGGTGAAATAAATTTTGAATTTTGCGCTTTTATTATAAGAAATATATAAAAATACAAACAATTAATTGAATAAAAACATAAAAATGACACAAATTGAAACAAATAAATGTATAGATGTATTAATATATTAAAAATCAATACATTATAAATATATGATTAAATTTAATTCAATTTAACATTAAATCCAGTTTTGGCTCCAATTGTAAACCGCATACAAAATGTATTGATGTTTGAGTCAAATAACGCGATAACTGACTGTTAAAACATTAGTACAGTTAACACACTATAAACTCAAATACGGAACAAAACGGACGTTATTTATGAACACCAATTGGTCATCACATGTGCGCTAAAAATGACTGCAAATTACATTCAAATTAAATGTAAATATAACTGAATTAAAGCCTAAATAATGGTTTAATTTGAATGAATGTAAACACACATGAAGTCTGTCGCACACCCAGAGTGTGTGGTTTGGCTGCGGATGTGTTGTGATGTGTATTGATTGATTGATAGACTAATGGCTCGGTTTGTGTCCCTTTAGGTGCGGCCAACAGTACTCTCCAAGACTTCACGTCATCGGAAAGCGCCGGTGCCTTCACTTACCACGACTCGCATGCCTTCACCACAAACACTGCCAACAGATTCATCTACTGGTATGCTATCACCCCATAAGCGCATCCCATTGTGCACACAATGACAATGGCATTGACACCATTGATACCATTGATTGCCGCCCCCATAGGAAAACCAATAATGATATCCTGGAGCTCACGGAGCTGTCGATGGACACGAATCTGACCGGAAATCAGCTGAAGTTACACTTCCAGAAGAATCCGGTGTTGGAAGGGGTGAGCGTTCACGAGACGATCGATAAGGTGTACGTATTGGTGGCCACCGTGTCGTCGGTTCACCGCTTTGTCTTCACTCATCCCCGAAAGTTGGGTTCAATATCCGCAGCGGTAAGCGCTCTATCATTCATGTCTCGCATTTGCATTCAGATTGTTATCATTAATGGCTTTCAAATGGATTTGTTTGCAAACATTTGAATTGTCGAAGAGTTTAATGAATAAATTGAATGAATGATTGATTTGTTTGCAAATAAGTCTAAATTGACAATAGGGTTGAGTTTGTAGTGTTTGTGTATTGGAAAGCCATGTCTCTTGCATTTTACAATCCATTTGTTGTTCATCTCAGTTGTGATTCTGTGAGAAAGTCTTGTTTTTGTAGTGCTATAAGTGTTCCCATAATTAAGATTCCTATAGACTCTTGAATCCCATGGACTGACAATACATTTGTGGCGATTCTCTCTACTCTTCTTAATGCTAACGGATATTATATATCAAATAAAAAGCATTGAAAGCTTTGATGACATTTAGACATCAACTCTGGTGAACCTTTTTCTCTCATGGCTTTCACTAATCAATTCAAAACTTTAATAATAAATGCGAGCCTTAAAAGTGTTTTTGCACTCATCTGAGAGGTGTTGGACAACGACTTCCTTGAGTTGTAAACCATAAGAATAGTGTTTGTATTAATCGTTTAACACAAATGTCAAAAAAGAAGTTTGAAATTAAAGGTTTCGGACATGAGTTCAGGCATTAAATACATTGTCAGAGAATTACATTAAAGTTAAATATAAGACCCAAATAGTTATGAAAACACCCCAAAATAGTTACTTTGATATTTATGATGAAATTAACAAAAAATTATTTTTAAATGTATAAAATAATTTGTTTTAATGTTTAATACACTAAACATTACATTTTTAGCCGATTTACTTAAATTTAAATAATTAAATAAAAATTTATATTGTACTGTGAGATATTTCCTCAGATAAACATTACAATTACGACACTTTTGGTAATTTTAATGTTTTGATTATGAAACCAAAACTCGTGATATTTCTTTCTTTGAATTTTATATTTATTTTTATTACTAAAACTTTCTTTTGTTTTAATTCTATCTAAATATTTCTGTTATTAGATTAAAATTCACTCCATTTTACGAAATAGTTAAAATAGTTACAAACCCATCAAATAGTTAAATATAGTTAAGATAAACTTTCGGTGAACTGACGCCCAATACATGATCGGTTCACATCCCGAGTTTGGGGGTAATACTATTAACCGCTAAAAATAGTTGCTATCGTTAAATGCAATTCTCTGATTATTATGATTATTATATGATTGCAGAGCACTAGGAGTTCACCGCAGAGTTTGCTAACATCGGTGACGGGTATAGAGCTGTTGCGTCCGTCCATTTTCTACAATGTGTACACTCAAGATCTGGACAACCCATCCAACTATAGTGTTCTGCCCTCTTATGGCTCATCACTGGGTCTACCCATACCTACCACATCGTGCTCGTGGCTCACACCGCAAAGAGAGGCCGTCTTCGTAATCGCCAATAATGTGGGTTCGCTTCTTGTGGTCCGATTGGGTGCACCCGAAGACTCAGGTAACCCATGATTACGTTTTTGTTTGGTTTATGTTTGTAATGAATGAAGACATAAAGCATTTGCCGCCCGATAATGGTCTCCCACTGCGAATGTCCTCTAACTTATTGTTTGCACTTCTCTTCGGTTCGCTTATTATCGTTGAGAAAAATTACTGTCTTTTCTCATGAGATTCCTTCGAGTGATTCACTTTTTGGCGCATATTTTGTCCAAATAAGCGATTCTTAGCCTCAAAACGCTATTTTATTTGAAGATTTGTCTTCACTTTAATTAACTTTTAGTTTCAAACCTATCATTGAAGTGAAAGTTCTCTCAAATCGTCAATTCTTATGATAGAAAAAATTTGTTAAAAACAAATTAAAACACATGAAAACTCGACGAACACTAAACTCATAGATAACTAACATGTTTTTGTCGCAAAAAGTGTACATTTTTACTCGAATTGACTTTAAAATAATAACAATCACAAAAGTTTGTATTCTTTCACACATTTCCACACATTTTTTTGTATTCTATAGGAAAAGTAATTAGTTATGAATTAAAGCAAACGACGATTATAGGCCGCCTCTGGAACGGAATCGTACCCTCCATTATGAGGTATTGCACTCAATGTTGAGTTTTTTTTGCATACATTTTATTATACGCTGTAATATATCATATTATGATATATATAATTAATAGTTTGTTAATTTACATTAACATTAGTTTGGATTAAATAATTAGATCTAAAAATATGTTAACCATAATTAGGGGCACACAAGAGGGCGATGAGGCGGCGGTTAGTTTGGTTTGGCATCCAATACAAGACGATTACCTGATATTCGCGTTGTGTCGTGATTTGAAGATCAGAATGTGGTCTCAGAAACGCCAGGACTGCTTACTGTCCCACTCTTTAGTACAACAAACCCACACAACACACAAATTATATTCTAATATGAATGGTATAATCATATGATATATTATTGCTTTGCATTATATATTATACGTTTAAATGTCTTTTATAACAATTATATTTAATATATTTTTTACACAATTATTACGAAATGTTGCCATTTGTTTGAAACAATTGCTAATTTAATGTATCATTCGTTTGAATGATTGTCTCTCAGTTCGACGGCCCGTCATATTAAAGAAGTGGATATCAAGAGACAATTCGACTCTATATTTGGCGGCATTTATTGCAGGCGGAGATCAAAGACAGTTCACTCTTTTCCAGCCTATTCTTGACAATAATCACTATTCATTGAGGCCTTTAGCTGTGGTGAACGCACCCGAAGCTGATTTGATCGACTTTTGCATTGCAAACGATCAGATTTGGTCACTTTGGCTCACGGCTAATAACGTGTCCAAACTTTTATACTGCCCTATAGAAAGGTATGCGTTTTGTTTCAAACCGTTAGCTTTCACGTCAGTAGGGAGTCATGTATTGAGAAAATGCTATTTAAAACATGAGAATAATATAGCGTTTTATCGGAATATTTGCAGTTATTCTTCGTGGGACTGGAGGTCTCTTGCCTTACATTCGCAGTTCACACATAAGATTAACATTAACTCAATTCTGGTCGACCCGCGAGAGCTTTACATACAAGACATCTTCATGTCTGGGAACTTTTCTCTTCAAACAATTGCCAAATCAATTAGTGTGAGTCACAGCACCCGTATCTCTATATCTCTAAACATTACATAACTATAATACACATATATTCATGATTTTTATCCCATATTTAGTTCATGTTTTTTTCACTCAATTTATTTTTAAGACTTATTTTTGGGTTTTTTGGTTGAAAAATACCTTTTGTTTACAGATTATGAGCAGAATTTCCGAATCGTCTCTAATTGGATGCAAAACAGAACTTCTCATAGAAGAGGCGACAAAAGTGGTTGAAAATAAAGTAAATACTTTTTGACAAATTTTCACTTCGCTTTTAATCACATAATTTGCCACTTATTACGAAATTTTGAAATGTTTTCGACTTTGTCTCTAATCTATTCTATAATTAGAAAATAGTTTAATCGCTCGACAATTATGTGAATAATTAATTTAAATGAATTTGTTTTTAATGAAGAAAATTATTTTAATTTCAATTAATTGTGAGACTTTTTAATATCATTACTAATATATGCGTTATTTTCTCAGATAAGAAGTCTTGTCGGAGCGGCTGAACTGTCCGCCGAAGAATATACAGCTCTTGAATTGGAGTCGTGGCGTAATTTGCACTCATTTTGCATCCAATATCACAGCGCAGAGAATAAACCGCTCGGACTCTTCATTGATCCCAAAACCGGCTTTAAAGGGATTATCAAGAAATCAAACATTGAGTTTCCCGTCAAAAATGATCCCATGGACGACATTATTGACGAATCGACATTTGATAGCAAATACGACTTGAGTAGTGTCTGCGAAGACCCATCACTTGAGTCCAGTTTGGCTTTCCTTCTCAGAAGTGTTTCCCAAATCAATGAATCGCTTATTGACGACGACTTGATTGCATTCGAAGCCTTTCTATTAAGAGGAGAGTCGGCCATCTCTGCGGCCGAAGCACTCATTGATAATTCATTGATGTTAACAATTGATCCCAAATCACTGAATGGCGAGCCTCTTAAGCACGCATTTGATAACATCCATTTGAAAGCTCCACAACTTTTGGATGCCATTCAATTGATGATCAAATCATTGGAATCCTATTTGAAAGACTCAAATGACGAGCAAAACGTTTTAATGGATGTCTCGCAGACAATATCACCCATTTTTCAGAACTGTCTCTCCAGTAGTCGTGGACTAAATTTGTTGAGCGAAAGCGTCAAACGAGTCGTGAGATTACGGTTCAACTTTTGCCGCGATTTACTACTCTTCCAGTCGTTTATCACTAAATTAAGAAACAAAGAGAGTCTTGAAATCATTGAGAAAATCATTTCAAACACAATACCAATGACTGTGGAAATTTTGAACGCATATTATCTGATGGCTTGGATTTGCGAAACACCGATGAGTGTGGGAAATGTCGGCTCAATTGCCGCCGAAGACAGCGTCGCTCTTCTCTCACTTCTGGAACTAAACGAATACATAAATGTGAACCGAAGCGGCGCTTCTTCTTCGGCTCTACTCTTTGATTGCGGACCAAAAACAATAATCAATCACTTTATCCAAAACAATGGCGGAATTTTGGCCAAAAGATTGTTAACCAATAAATTTAAGCGAAGAGACGATAATATATCAAATTTAGAGATATGGGCGTCACTTATGCCTCAATTCGTACATTCAATTGTACTCCTCATCTCTCCGCTCACAACTCACTTCCATTTACCAGAGTTTATGTTAGGCTTCGGTCAGTACCACCTCCTCATTGAATACATCAATAAACTGGACGTTTGGTGCGAATGGAACTCCCATTCGCGACTATTCCTCAAAGCCCTCTGTTATCTTATAATCGGAGAGTCGTATAAATCGGTCACACTTTTCAATAGAGCTCTGTTTGGTCTAAACGAAGATTCATTTCTCAAACGTGTAATTATTGGTCAAAATCGTGATATTGAAGCCGAAGATGAAGACAGCGATGCCATAAAATCGAATACAATCTATAAATATTACAACAAATTATTGCAATTGTTTGCAATCTATGGTTCGCCCGATTCTATCATAGAAGTGGTGGACAGCGCTGTCTCTGCGTTAGACAAAGACGATGACAATTATGACGAACACATCTCATCGTTATATTCGACTAAATTTATGGCTCACTTAGAGTTGGAGAACACGACCGAAGCCTATGAGGCGATGATATCTAATCCCGATTTATCACAGAAGAAGATATGTTTGCGACAATTCATTGTCCATCACTGCGAGAACCGGCAATTATCAGCGCTCACTGCCTTCTCCTACAACAACATCGAAGAGGAATTTGTCAACATTATTGAGTCGAGAGCCAGATCTACAGATTTGCTTTCGTCCAATCAAATCAATTATTACCATCTCTTGTACTCGTATTTTGTGAGAGACAGTAACTATAGACGCGCGGCGTCTGTGATGTACGAGTTCTGCCGACGCCTGAGTCAAGAAGTGAATGGATTGGAAAGTATCAAACAACAGGTCAACGCCTATCTCATTGTCTTGAATTGTCTCAAAATAATAAATCCCAAGTATTCGTGGATTGTTAAGCATTCCTACAAAAGAGAGACCTCATCGCCGCTCACGAAACGCAAACTCCACTCAAACGTGAAGAGAGCCGTCGGTGGAGACGACGAAAGCGCTAAGAGATCAGTAGAGTTGGAAATCATGGACAGCAATGACATGAAACGTGAGTACGAATTAGTGAAAGCGAGACTTCGCTTATTGCAAAAGGACGAGAAGACATTCGCCATCGCAAACACACCCCTCGACGCCACCGAAACCATCACTCTTCTCATATCCGCGTCACTCTTCGACTTAGCGTTCAATTTGTGTTCATTACTCAAACTGAAATACGAGCCCATCTTTGAGGGCATTGTTTCCAAATATATATATTTAGTCCAATCGGGAAACAGCTATGAAATTGTCGACGTTTACGACTGTTTCGTCGATAACGACACGCCGTCTCTGGGCTTTATAAACGCTGCAGATATGGCGCCCGTCGACAAGATGTGGCATTTGATCACCACTTATCTCCACAAATACGAGACCGAAGGCCAGACATGTCTTAAGAGATGTGTGGCCGAGAAGTTATTAGCCAATGGTTTAATGATTCCAACGTGTCTTAAACTAAAATATCAGGTGATTTATTACTGAAATATTAATCCAATTATTAAACTATTTTTTCTTTGTGTTTATAATGCGATGCGTTTGCCATTAAAATGATAGCATTATTCGTTAATTAGTAGATAGTGTTCACTAATGTGTCAGAAATTTAGATTTTGGCACAACATGTTTAAAACCATAACAAACTAATTAACGACTTTTTTGCTTTGTGTTTAAGACAATTATTTTTGTTTTACTTGATATTGGCTTAAAAAGTAGCGTTTAATCTCATTACACATTAATATTGATTTTCTTAATTGCCTCATGACTTATGAAATTTAATAATTGTAAATGTAATGTAAATTTTTCATTAATTAATATATTTGAACATTTGACTTAATAGAAACAAAACTGCCCGGAATTGCTTCGACTCTTACTTACATATGATTTCATTGAAGAGGCGTTTGATTTGTCCATTGAGTACATGAGAGCTTTCGAAGGAAAGGGAACTGAATATTTCGATATTCGGGTAATTATTATCTTATAAATCAATTTTAATAATTATTGAGATAACATTTTAATGCGATTGTCATTTGCATTACAGTCCGCTCTACTGCCCAACACTCGACCCCTTTATATTCCTTACCATATATTTAACGCTTTGTTGAAGATTTTACACCAAGAGAAGAGTGTCGCTAAATATAAACAGGTATTTATTTTTTGTTATTATTATTATGTAATATTTATAAATTTTTAATGCTTAACAAAAGTGTTTATTTGTATTTATTAATGAAATGATATGTTTGTGTTACAGATGTATAACAGCCTAAACGTTGAATTAAGAAAACTCCGAGAACTGACTATTCATACATCAAATTCATCATTAATCGCATGAAATTGTTTAAAAATTTTATAATTATTAATTAACTGTAATGTCATTTCCTTTTTATCTTATTATAATTATATTATCATAAATATTAAAATCAGAATTTGTTTTATTGATTTTAAAACCATATTCGTCTTTATTTAAGATAAAACTTTGTGTTTAACTAAATTAAAGTTATAAATAAGTGACAGATATGTTCATAATTAAAGTGTTGCGCGCTTTTGACATAAAAGCTATTTCCTTAGAATTATTGCCATTTGTCTAAAAATATCTGTTTTTCGGTCCAACCCTTAAATTTATCCATATTTTTGTCTTTAAATCATTTTTAATGGAAAAAATGTTTTCATTAATTCTGAACAAAACGCAAATTAAATGAATTTTAAAAAATAATTTCTGGTTTTTAATAAAGTGTAGTAAAAATATTTGTTTTGATTGAGGAATGGGAAGAAACGAACGGAAGTTTGTCGTAACTAATTATCGTCTTTTTGGCTCTTATGACAACATTTGAATGCATTCTCTAAACGGAAATATAAAACCGAGACTTGAGATCAAAACTTGGAAATATGTTGTGTTGTTTGGCATCACATTTCACATCAAGCTTTAGTCGACTGATTTTTTTGGTGATGACTTGAACTGACTCTCAATGTCTACGAAATGATTATTATAATATTGATATTACATTCATCAATGGGAATATAAATCTTTACAATGGTTTTGTTGGTTAAATAAATGCTTTTAAACAAATGAGAAAATGCTTTTTTCAACGTATCAAATATAAACCAAATGATAGGAAAAGTCGTATATTTTTGCGGTAAAATAATGACAGAATTTATTCATTTAGTGTTTTGTATATAAATAGCGTATATTTCAATAGTTTTTAGATTAGAAAATATAAAGACCTCATAATAGACTGCAATCAAAGTCAAAATGTTATATAATTTACGATAAGCTAATGACTTATACTCTCTGTATTTGGTACACAATTTAAAGCATTAGTTTTATTTTGTATTAAAAAATTGTAGTGATTTTATTGTGGAAATAAATGCAATGCTTTTAGTGGTAATTAACTGCTATTACATAATGCAAGAGATTTAGAAACCAAAACATCATATACTGTATACTGAAATGATATCCAAACAGTTAATTGCAACGACTTTATCGTCAACTCTTAGGTCTGGTTTTATAGCTTTAATTCGTGCGAAGAATTTATTTGTAGAACTGATACACAAAAACACAACAAAAATCAAGAATTTGAGTCTTTCAGTGAATTGACTGCTTATGTAAACAACACTTTACTATGTATTACAGATCTGTACAACAAAATGCCAGATATAATCGTATTGTCTTTAAATAGTTTAGTCAGCGATTGACTGATTTTTGTAGTGCTTTTGATGAACACCAGCCAAACCAGTCCTCACCTCTTGTGGTTCCGTTCCTTCACTTCTCTTCTGTTCGTCTTTTTATTGTGTTTTTTCTCAAAATAACTATTCATTGATAGGAAACTGATTACTGATTACGAGCTATAAGTGCCTAAAAAGAAAGATTGCGTTCAATTTGTGCTGACTTTGAATATCTGTCGCAAACACTGATAAAGAAGTTTCAGAGCAATTGACTTCATATTTCATTTATCGATGACTTAACAAATCTATTAATATTAGTTTACTAATGAGTTTCATAACAAAAACAACAAATTTTCCCAATTTTTTGTAAACTTCCCAAACTCTTTATAAATGGTTTCATCGATTTTAAAAGTCTCATCATTTAAATGCAGAATAAACTAAAACATTGACATAGATTTGGGTAAAAATGCAATAAATTAGAGTTTAATGCTTTAATTGATTGGTTTTTACATCCGATATCTACACATATCTCAAACATCAATTCAGTATAAATACAGACAGTTTTAGATCTGGTTTTAAAGAGTTTAACTTTATTTTGTTTTATTGTGAATAAATAAAACTGTTTTGAATTTAGTATTATATGTCATCACATTTTTATTTAACCCTTCGGTCGTGGTTTTGAGCAGTTTTCATATTTCAGATAACATAACATATTTAAGCGATTAATCCGTAAATTTGCATAAATAGTAGAAATACAACTTTTGGTATAATTGAAATAATATTGTCTAAATTCCTATTATATATTATGAGTATCTTTTACAATGAAAAACAAGATTTGGAGTTAAGAATAGTAGTGATGGAGAGATAGAGATCTGGTTTATATCTCTCATGCCATCTAAACATTAAGATTTACTCCATTATTGTCTCGGATATAAGAATAAACGATATGCGAGTCCAGAGGGTTGTATGTATTGTACGTCTGTTTCTCATTGTTCAACACAACGATAAATATTAATTTTCTAATAATTCACTGAATCTAACGCTACACTCAATAAAGTATAATAATACTGTAATAATAAAAATAATATAATTTAACAAAAAAATAGGCAATGAATGCAAATTATTACCTAAAATGTAATTCTTGTGAAAATTGTGTAATTTTTGTTAATTTATCAAAAGATAATATGCAATGATATAGAAAATAATTTACATAATATATTCCATGTGTAGAGTAATATAAATTAATTGCATTTTTGTCTTCATTTCAATGACACTTATATATAAGAGAAGAACAGATCGGGAAAAAGGATGAAAAAAGTGTAAATAACTGTTTTCTTTTTGTTTTGTTCGCAAAGATTTATAAGTCATTGCTTTTTCTCACTTCTGCGATACTAAAGACAAAATAAACATAACATAGACTATAGACTATAACATAACTCATTAAACGGATTCTTATGATAAACATAAACATTTGAAGTGATGAGTGAAGAATAAGTGCTTTTCCACTATATATTACTGTAAAGGGTCTGGCATTTTGTCTTTTAGACTAAATTAAGTCCGAAATAAATGTATAATTAGATAACAAAAGTCAGTTTCCAATAGTCTTTGTAAGTTTATAAAATATTGAGACGTTATTTCACTAAACATAAAGTTATTATTAAATTGCATACAATTTAATATACAGGTATTTATAATTATATACTTTCGAGTGAATGATTAGAGTTAAAGTTCAATTGGGATGAAGTTTCAACACTTGTATATATAATAAAATACTTAAATTGTGGCAGATTTTTATTTATAGCACTTAATTTAAATAATTATAAAACTGATAGATTAATGTCAAACTGAAGGAATAGCAAACTTAAAATATTTTAAAACTCAACTTTTTCAGAGTTAAAGGCTTTAACCTATTATTTAAAACATTGAATCGATACCAATATAATATCTTTATTATTTTTAATTATATACAAATTCCAAGTCATAAAATCTTGGTTAATAAATAAGAAATTTAAATGTTATTAAAATAGTTGCCTCATATTGCCTGGTATTGATTGATGGCATCTTTACTTTATAAGACTCGTAAGCTTTTAATAACACTTATTTTAACCATTAATTGTGTAAAAGTTAATACATTTATTATTTATAAATATTTTTATTATTTATTACATAAATTTCTTTAAAATATTGTTATATTAAAATGCTATCCAATTTGACATTTCATGTTTTGTGTGTTGAAAAAATCATTTTATACAATATTCTAATGCCATAAAATTTCAGAGCTTTTTATAGATCAATACATAAAACAAAAACAATATATAGTTTAGAAAGCTTCGAATATAACTTTAGACAAAGTTTGCATAAATAATGTTATTGTGTAATAAATTAATTAGCGTTTGGTTTGGATGTCTCGACCCTTTGCGGCACAAAAGTATATATGAAAAGAAATGCCAATCACTTCTTCAGACCCTTTAATGAATTGTATTTTTAGATAAAAGTGATGACTCGAGCACTTCGTCTATATATTCAACATTTTCGTTCAATTGAAGCCAATGTTTAAAAAGCGCTTCACTTTAAACGAGAGATTTACACTAAAAATGTGTTGAAAAAATGTTTGGTCGCAAATGAATCAAAGACTCTAACGTTTTTGGCTCTTTCTTAAGTGTATTTTCAAACACTAATTGCATAAATATGTTTAGAAAAGTACATATAATTGTCAAATGACTTCATTTATAATATAGAAAACTCTATTTTATGGCAATTTATTGGATTTACAGATAATTAAGTGATAACTTTTTCAAGAGTTTATAATTGATCTTAAATTGAGCTGATTTTGTGTTTCGAGGAATAATTAAATAATGTTCTAAACGTTAATGATCTCCAAAATTAAGTCGATTTTTTTAGACTATTTGCATAAATATCATAAAATTATTTAAATCTAATTATATACAAGTTTTAGTGAATTATTAATTAGAATAAAAATAATAATTTTATATCAAACCCCACACAAAATTAGTACAAATTGAAAAAAGCAACATTATAAAAATAAAGTTATAATAAGTTATAACAAGATTTTACGAATTTTTTTGTTACACTAATTATGCGTTTATACAACATATTTAATTGTAGTCAAAAGCCATTAGATTGTATCCTAATTATAATACTGTAATATTTGGTTGTTTTTGTGCAATAATTTGGTTTAATTTTCAAACAAAAAACATTTTAATTTTCATTCTTTGAATGTTTTTCTAATCATCAAATATTTGTGTATAATTTAAAGATTAAAGCAATAATTTAGTGACAAAATTGCAGTTAAAATCAATTAATCCCAGAAATAGCTATTTAAACGTTTAGCCATTTATTGTTGATTTTAATTTAATCTATAGTTTTAAATGAGTTTTCGTGAGTATTTCTATGAGTATAAAAAGCAACGATTTATGAGATTATCTGCAAATTTATGACTCGTTTCTATTTATCTTAAAAACTTCACGTAATGTTTGTCTCTATTTTTATCTCACAATCATATTCTCAGACAGTATTCCTGTGTTTAATGATTTATATGCCGTAAAAATACCTTTGGTTTTAAAACTAGAAGTAAAACATAAAAACAAATTTTAAATGACTTTTATTTTCAAATACCGATAAACAAGAAAAGAAATAAATAAAAGTCAA